TTATCCAACTATCGAATACATTGTGTGTGTTACTAATATAAATAATTTTTAATTAATACAACTTACATATAAATAAAAGTTAATATTTAATTTATTTATTTATAATTCTTAGCTCTCTTTGTATGTCTTCATATATTTTTCTCATTTTTAATTATCATTCAAGGACGATCATAAAATCTTTTGTTTTTCATGAATACCATAATAATTCATGTTTGAATTTATAAGAAATTATCCTCATTAATTTCTTTCCAATTACTTCAATAAAGTTTTTATTTTATATGTAATAAATATTTCTGCATTTAATATAGACAATTTAATCTTTTTTGGATGAATCTAAAATTCATTTCAATAATATATATGAATAAATTATAAAAATGTATTTAAATTTTCTTTTATTATACAAGGAAAAAGGGGAGCTAATGTGATTTATATTTTTCACTTCGATTTTAATGATTCCTTCTTTTTTCTTCATATATAGAAAAGTCAAATGAGATAATATTGAAATCAATGATATCCTCATTTTTAACCATTAATTTTTAAGTTTACTTAAATTATTATTTGCGAAGTTTCATTAATTATTCAATTTTCATTTCTAATATACTTCAAGTAGTACTATAAAAAATCTAGGTATATATAATTAGTTCCAAAATGCATAATATGTCATTTCTACTATTCCTCTTTTTGGTTTATTGTTGTAAACCAATTCCATATCCTGCATTATTTCTTTAAAAGTCTCTCCTTTTTTTAACATATGATGCTAGCTATATGCTTAAGATTTTTTTGAAAACTGCCATTCATACATTCCCCTTGTAGGTAATATGCATTATTATTATAAAGTCTTATTTTTGATTTTTTAAAAAAAAATAATTTAATAAAATCTTTTTATTATTTTTAAAGTATCAATTGTATTTAAATAAGTAATTATTTAATTTAAAAAAAAATGATCATTATTCCTATTAAAAATGAAATCCTCATTTTAAAAACCTTTGATTATATATAAAATAATCTTTTTATGATTTTATGTTTTCCACAATGATGAATTTTCATACAAAAATAATATAATTTATCAAAAATTAACCCCTACTATTGATTAATATAATTCACTGAATATTAAATAATAATTTTTTAATTAAAATTAACTAAAAATAAGTAAAATTCATTTCCAAAATGAACATTTCTTTTTTTTAAAAAAAAAAAAAAAAAAAAAAAAAAAAAAAAAAAATATCAGTGGAATAATGAATAAATAATAAAAATAATAATATTTTTAATAATAATTTAAAAAAAATAAATATCCATTTTTATTAAAATATTAAAATACAATGTACCAAAAAAAATAAAAGTACAAGAATTTGTTAATTAAACTTGAAACATTTTAGTATAATTTACAAGTTAATGAAAAAAAAAATTTAGAATAAAAAATTACTCTAAGTATGTTTTATTAAAAATTTTTATAAAAATGTATTTTAAATGAAGAAATAGCAAAAAAAAAAAAAAAAAAAAAAAAAATTAATTAAAAAAAAAAAAAATAAAATGAAAGATATTATTTGGTAATTTTTACATTTCCCTTTTCTTTTTTTTTTTTTTTTTTTTTTTTTTTTTTTCTCGTGAACGGTTCGAAAAAAAGTCTATAATATAAAAATTAAAATTAAAGAAAAAATAATTCCTTAAGCAAAATTTATTTTAATTATACTATATAAGAAATAATAATAATAATAAAAATATAGACTATTTTATAATTTAATATATGAAATAATAATTTAAATATTGTATTAAAAAAAAAAGATAAATAATGAAAAAAAAAAAAAGTAACTTAATGCTTATTAGAACAAAAATAAATATAATGTGCTCTGACAGTAATAAAAAAGTACGAATCAGAATAAATTTTTAATTCAATAAATGAAATTTATTATAGACGAAAAAAGCAATAAATAAAAGAAGACTATATTTTTTAACTTTGTTAAACTAATATATATGTGAATTGTTTAAAAATATAGTATAATAATATATCGAATATTCATATAATATTAATTAAAAAAAAAAAAAAAAAAAAAGAGAAAATATTGCAGAGATGTGCATATAACTTTTTTTTTTGCATAACTTATAAAAGTTGAGTCTATTTTTTATACTTTCTAAAATGCTTCATAAAAAATATTTTAAAAGTTTATACTCTATAAAAAAAAAAAAGAAACAAAAAAAAAAAAAAAAAATAAAATCATAAAAAGTAGCATGTGGAAATGTTACGTGAAAACCATATTTAACTGTTGCAATATTTCTATATTAAATTTTATTTCAAAAATAAAAAATATTAATAAATATAAAAAAAAAAATTATTCATATATTTAAATAAGACACCTCTAACTTCTTTCTACTCTTTTATTTCCAAATTAAGAAACCCTTCTTTATAAAGAAAACTTAATATAATGTAGAAGAAAAAAAATATAAATATTGTACAATTCATATAAAAAAAAATATATATATAATTGTTTATTATATATTACTAAATTTTAAATCTATGGAAATATTTTTGCATATGTAAGGTTAAGAAGAAAAATGAAATAAAATGAAACATATAAAATACAATTAAAACAAAAATTAATATTTAAAAAAATTTAGATAAAAATATATATAAAATTATATAGATTTACATAAAATTAATGAAAATAAAATATTAAATATATATTCAATGCACATATCTCACATATTTTTTTAATTTTTAATATAATAAAAATGAACTAATAAATGATATTATACTCCTCAGATCCATATGAAATTATGTTAAAAAAAAAAAAAAAAAAAAAAAAAAAAAATTTTTTTTTTTTTTTTTTTTTTTTTCATATATTTTGTTATAACAGCACCCGCACTTTTAAAATTTTGAATTTTTTTTTTTTATCTCATTTATGAAAAAAAAAAAAAAAAAAAGCCAAGGATATTAGCTATTAAAAAAATATAAATCATAAAATTTCTTAAGAGCTATATATATTCTAATGGAATCTGTAAATAAATGCGTCATAGGAACAAAAATATTTATTAAAGATAAAAATAAAGTAATTCAAAGAAATTATAACATTTTAATTTCATAATATATATATATATACATAAATTGTTTTAATTACAAATTAGATAATTTAACCATAAATTCTCATTTTTTTATATACATAATTAAAGCACTTAATACAATGAAAATAATTAAGAGTGTAGATAAATTGAAAAAATTCATTTTTTTTTTTTTTTTTTTTTTTTATAAAAAGAGAACCTAATTTATTATATATATTTAATTGCTTTGTATTTTTATATTCATAAAATAATGGATAAATTTCTTATAATCTTATTTATGATAGAACTAAAAATAATAATGAATGATTTTAAATAAATAGGTATGGGCTAATGCTGAAATAATAAAAGAAGAAGATACGAATATAATAGTCAAAACAGAAGATGATGAAATAATTAAATTAAAAGAGAATGACGAATTTTATCTTAGGAATTTAGGTTTTTTATTTTTACTTCATAATAACTATAAAACAATATATAAAAAAATAAAAATATAATTATTTGTTTTCATATATTAACATATATATTTGCTTATATATATACATATCTTTTTTTTTTTTTTTTTTTTTTTTTTTTTTCTATTCTAACAAAAGAAACATTCTTTTAAAAAATTTTTATTTAATCCATAGTGTGATTCCTATAAAACTTTGGTTGATAAAAATATATTGCAAACAAAAAATGAGTTGAAATATGGAAGAGTATTAGCAGAGGGTGAGATAACAGGAAAAAAACAAAGTAACGCTGAAGGATGTCTAAAAGAATGTCCATTAGATAATAAGAAAAACATATGTAAGGATCCGGATCTATACAAGGATCCGTTCAATTATTATCGTAAGGTCATGATTCCACAATTTTCGAAGCGATTTAATAAAGAAACAAATGAAATGGACCCTAAATCGAAAAGCCTAAAATGGAATGCTTATTGGAATGAAATTTCAACTACGAAAGTTAGAGATCTATATTCAATATCTCGTCGACGTAATATTCGAGATGAAGAAAAAAACAAAAAAATTGATATTATTATGAGAGAACTTGACTCAGAATTTGAGAAATTTTTATGCGAATGTAAGAAGGAGATGACAGACAATAAAACAGAATCCGAATCTAATAAAGTGATGAGAGATAATATAACAGAATCCGAATCTGAGGAAGAGATGAGGGAAAATAAAACAGAATCCGAATCTGAAGAAGAGATGAGGGAAAATAAAACAGAATCCGAATCTGAAGAAGAGATGAGGGAAAATAAAACAGAATTCGAATCTAAGAAAGAGATGAGAGACAATAAAACAGTATCCGAATCTGAGAAAGAGATGAGATACAATAAAATCGAATCCGAATCTAAGAAAGAGCAGGGAACAAATGAAATAAGAAATTATAAAAAAAAAATTTGGCAATTACTTATTGTTTTGATAATCTTAGGGAGAATATAAATTAATGGTTTAACAGAGAAAATAAGATTAGTCATGCACAAGATCTAGTTAAGAAAAGGAATAATTGATATTTTGTCTAAATTTTTTTTATAGAAATA